CTATTTTTATTTTTACTAAGCTTCAGAAATTAAACTTGCTTGGTTGAATATTATGATTTGTTTATCATCAAAAGTTTTCAAAATAAGCAGAATTTGATTATCAATGACTTTTTAAGATAAGAATTTGATCATCAATGACTTTTTAAAATAAGAATTCAATTATCAATAATCCTTCAAAATAAGAATTTGATTTTTAATAACTGTTTAAATAAGAATTTGATTATTAATAACGGTTTAAAATAAGAATTTGATTATTAATAACTGCTTAAAATAAGACTTTAATTATCAATAATCCTTCAAAATAAGAATTTGATTTTTAATAACTGTTTAAAATAGGATTTTGATTATTAATAACGGTTTAAAATAATAATTTGATTATTAATAACTGCTTAAAATAAGACTTTAATTATCAATAATCCTTCAAAATAAGAATTTGATTTTTAATAACTGTTTAAAATAAGATTTTGATTATTAATAACTGTTTAAAATAAGATTTCGATTATTAATAACTGTTTAAAATAAGAATTTGATTATTAATAGTTGTTTAAAATAAGATTTTGATTATTAATTACTGTTTAAAATAAAATTAAATTTTTAATAACTGTTTAAAATAAGAAATCGAGTATTAATAACTGTTTAAAATAAGAATTTGACTATTAATAACTGTTTAAAATAAGAATTTGAATATTAATAACTGATTAAAATAAGACTTTAATTATCGATAATTCTTCAAAATAAGACTTTAATTATGGATAACTGTTTAGAATAAGATTTTGATTATTAATAACTGTTTAAAATAAGAATTTAATTATTAATAACTGTTTAAAATAAGACTTTAATTATCAATAATTCTTCAAAATAAGAATTTAATTATTGATAACTGTTTAAAAGTAAGAATTTGATTATTAATAACTGTTTAAAATAAGATTTTGATTATTAATAGCAGTTTAAAATAAAAATTTAATTATTAATAACTGTTAAAAATAAGAATTTGTTTGTTAATAACGGTTTAAAATAAGAGTTTGATTATTAATAACTGTTTAAATAAGATTTCGATTATTAAAAACTGTTTAAAATAAGAAATTGATTATCAATAACTGTTTAAAATAAGAATTTGATTATTAATAACTGTTTAAAATAAGAAATTGATTATCAATAACTGTTTAAAATAAGAAATTGATTATTAATAACTGTTTAAAATAAGATTTTGATTATTAATAACTGTTTAAATAAGACTGTAATTAACAATAACTGTTTAAAAATAAGAATTTTCTTACTTAAGACAATAAATCTTAAATTACAAGGCTACACAGACAATGAGGAAAGGATTTTACACTGATTAATTAGCAATTAGTGAAGAGGTGTAAAGAATCCAACAAGTTTCAACCAAAATTAAATTTATTTTGGTTTCTCTTCATGCTTGAAATACTAAGAACTTTAACAACTATGAAAACTGATGGAAAATTACTTGTTAAAATAAAATGTTTACAGCTTAGCGTTGAAATATGATTTTAGGGGTTCATCAAATATAAAAACCACAAAAAGATTATTATAGATGAGAACTTGACGATGAGATAAGCTAAACTTTAGACCAAATTTTTGCATCAAGAAAAATAATGTGAATTGTAAATTTTTTTAAAACTTATTAAAATTTTTTTAATTATCTTCGTTTAAAAATCTGTTAAAATTTTGGATTAATGTATTCACGTTAATTTCGTTTTTTTTAGATTGAAAATTTACTGTTAGTCTTAGTTATATTGTTCACCAATTTTCTAGATTAAATATAGGATATTGGCGATATTTAGATGGACTGGAAGTTGCATTTAACATATATAAGTTTTAAACTTAGAAACTTGTATTATAAGCTGTTTTACATTTAAGACATTTTTGTATTTACTTTATATAAGTCGATAAAAAATGAATTTTTTAATTCAAATATTTATAATTTAAGCTGCGTTGAGCTGTACGCTAGCGTACACTCCGGTTTTCCGGGAATTTGAACACTATTTTAGACTTTAGAGATAAACACACGGAGCTCTCTACCTCGATGATCTGTTTTAAAGATTAACATTGCAAATCCTGTATTCCCCTCTTTCATGGTGAATAGCAATTACGCCTACAGTCCCTTTAATGTCTCCTAAAAATGTTTTGATTTGTTGCATAATTGTGTTCCACTTGATTAATATTTATCATCCAAAAATATATTTACCTCTCCTCACCGCAAAACTAGGCTTTGCATGCGTATCATCGCACCATCAGACCGCGTAGCTGACGCCTGCATTGACGCAAAGGCCTTAAATAGACGCAAACGATTGGGATATTTAAAAGGAAAAATCTAAAAAGTGCGTCAGTTCTGACCCAGACATTGAAGGGATATAAATACAGGAATATGTCATTAAAAGACAAAATGAAAATAAAAATTTACAAAAAAACGAATATTTGAAGAAAAAAAAACAGTTTTTAAGTTCAAGTTATTTAGTGAATTTTATTGAGTAAAGAGTCACTTTAAAAGTTACTTCATGTAAAAATAGTTTTTTTTTGTACGAGTTTTTGCCACAAACTCAAAGTTTTAATCCCTATATCTTTGCAACCCAATGTATGTATATACCTTTGATATTTCAAACTATGAATAGTGAATACTGTTAGAACAAATAGTCTCAGATGAAAGTTCATCGGTTTACACCATCAGGTTGCAAAGATAAAGGAATGAGTTTCCTAAAAATAATTATTTTTGATAATTCAATAAAAATAACAGCAAAATGTTTATTTTAAACAATGACCAATGATAAACAATGTTTGTCGACTTTGTTTTGTTTTATTTAAAAAATTTTCGATCTTAAAATGTTGTAAAAATGTTGTTAAAATGTTGTAAAAATGAAAATATCGAATATTTTACAAAAAAAAATTTTTATTAAAACTGATACACTTCATCAGCTTCTTTTTAAAAAGTTGTGATTGAGAAAACTTCAAATATGTTTTTCTTAATACTTAAACTATCTTAAATTATCTTGAATAATGTAATTTTCATATTCAGTTTCATTTTCAGAGTTAATCTTAAATTATTCTAGAGTTTAAAAAAGAAAATAAAAGTTTTTAATGAATTATTAGAACCATGAAGTTGTGTATTCTACTTACCCCTCTCATCCTTGGAGTAACGCTTGCAAACCCATTTAAGAACAAGGTATATCTACAAAATATCAAACAAAAATAGCGCAATTTAACAAAAAGTTATACAATTTAACAAAAAGTTATAGCAATTTAACAAAATCTTAGAGCAATATAACAAAAAGTTACACAATTTAACAAAATGTTAGAGCAATATAACAAAAAGTTATACAATTTAACAAAATGTTTGAGCAATATAACAAAATACTAGACCATTATCACAAAATGGTAGAGCAATAAAGAAAATGTTAGAGCAATTTAACAAAATATCAGACCACTATCACAATGATAGAGCATTAGAACAAAATGTTAGAAATAGATAAGAAAATTTTTAAATTGAATGGCAAAATGTTATAATATTACATACATCACAATTTTAGAACTTAGTGGCACAAAGTTTGAACTGTTTTCCCTACTCTAGGAGGGGGGGATTATCATTGCAACTTGATGATGGTGTAAACCATTGATATTTCTTATAGATTTTTTGGAAAGAAGTCAAAAATATTCACAAAATAGAAAAAATTATTTAATTTTGAAAGTTGTTTTAAAAACTTGTAAATTTTAACAAAGATTTGCACGTGGCATTTATCTTCATTTTCTTAAAAATATCCAGTGTGTCCCACGAAACATGAGAGTAGCAAGACGACTTGAAGATTGTCTTTGATCTTTGAAATAATTTACGATCTTTATAAGTAAACCAAAGTTAGTAGTAAAATTCTAGAGTTACTAATCACAAAATACCCCTAGTGTTAGCATTTCCAAAATGTGGTCTGCCTATATATTCTGCTGAACGCAACACTAGAGCTGTCGTCGGGCTGTATTGAAATTCACTCTGTCCAATTTTTTTCTGAATTTTATGTTGCTTTTTATACATCCCGAATATTGTATAGGCACAGAATTTTTTCTTGAATCTTGAGGCTTAGGTCTTTCAACCCTTCGTGCATCTCAGACTTTAATCAAAGATTGCCCTGAAAATCAACATGTCCCCTGTCCAACCAGTCAGTGACAAAAAACCTCAGTAATTAATTTTATATTTTGAAACCATTCTTTTGAGAAAAACATGCAAGGGTCCAGTGCTCCTTGAACACCGGACCCATGTATTGTAACCGGAATTCGGGAACACCGGACCCATGTATTGGAACCAGCTTCGGGAACACCGGACCCATGTATTGGAACCGGCTTCGGGAACACCGGACCCATGTATTGGAACCGGATTCGGGAACACCGGACCCATGTATTGGAACCGGATTCGGGAACACCGGACCCATGTATTGGAACCGGATTCGGGAACCAGAAATCCGATAAATCCGGATCCTAGGAACTGGTTAAATGAAAGTATTTCAATGTATCTTTTAACAGTTAATGTCGTGTTTTTAGCTTCATTTTTTTAATTTAAATTTTTTGTTCTTTCACGAGTTCTTGAAAATAAGAAGTTAAGATTAAAGAATGCTAAGTTTCGAGTAAAATTTATTCTAATGAGGCTTTTATGGCGCTTCGCGCCCATCTTCTATTTCAACTTTAATTGTTGCTCTATCTGTGAACATCGTCTCTTTGTACAATGTTAAACAAAAACAAGAAAAAGTTCCCAGATTTCATAATATTTTTTCTTGGATTTTCAAAATTTTACAAAAGTTTAAAATTTTGGGAGACAACTTTTGAAATTTCGAGCATCCATAAACTTTCTCTGGGTTCATGTGAGGTCCCACTCTAAATTTGGGCCCGATCGGTTCAGCCGTTTTGACGTATTTTGTATAAAAACAGACAAACATACAAACAAAAAGACAGACAGACGCCCAAAGTATATATAGTTTTGAGTGTGTTTATATACAGGCTCAACAATTGATGCCTTACCGATACGGATATGCTGTTAAAGACGAGGACGGAAATGATTTTAACCAACAAGAGCAATCTGATGGACAACAGGTAGAGCACATTTGATAAAGACGACCTTTACAATCTTCATTTCCAAATGGAGGACCGTCAGCCAAACATTTAAATATTAAGTCATGATGGAAATCTGGGAAATTTACCAGATATCCGTAAGTATTTTTCTATAAAAAAGGTTAAAATTGAAAAAAAGTTCAAAGTTTACAGATTTATAACAGTGGTCGTCGTTTATATCAATACAATGAAGATGAATTTTCTGTCGAAGGGAGTGACCAGCAATGTATGATGGTTGAACTGAGATTGCAGTATTGTAGAGAAATTTTTTAGGATTCATTTGAGAGATATAAAACGTTTTAAAGATCTATAATTACTTAGTTTGAGCGCAAAGTTGACGTACAAAATCATCCATTTGGGTGGGTACAGTAAACTAATTAGTGGTTAAGGAACAGGTTGAGAAAATAAAATTTAACTCTTATCATCAAAAATAAGTGATCTTATTCAAAAATTAGTTTCTATAATCTCTTATTATTCACAAAAAATTTCTGCAGATTTTCTGGAATTATTATTGAAAAAGACGACATTTAAAGAATTAGTAGAAATCTGCGAACAAATTCATAGAAAATAAAAAATTCAATATAATGATGAAAACGAAATAATTTATTCTAACATTGATTTATTGACGAATTTCTTTTAAGAAATATATTCCTAAACATCTAATTAGCTTACTATAGAATTTTTACTATAATTTTTGTCGTTGTTATTTTATAATTTAAAAACTATTCTTAAAACGTATTTACCCAAATTGATGATTTTGAACGTCGACTTTGCGCTCAAACTCAGTTTTTATAGATCTTTAAAACGTTTTATATGTCTCAAATGAATCCTAAAAAATTTCTCTACAATACTGCAATCTCAGTTCAACCATCATACATTGCCGGTCACTCCCTTTAAGGTTTTGATTTTTAACAAGTTTACAAGCCAACAAAGGGAATCTTTTTATTTGTCAGCTTCTCTTGATTTTGATGTGTAGCCAAGGAGAATTCTCCTTTTGTGTAACCATGCTGATTAAAATAGAAATCCAAATTTGTCTTTATTGTATTGATATATACGACGACGACTGTAAAAAAATAGCTTCTTTAAGTAAAGATTCATTTTTTATACCGATTTTTGACAGTGGTTCAAAAAATCTTCGAGGATTTACTCATTTAGTTTATTTTATTTTTTTAAATCATGCAATATTTTAACTCAAATCTTAAATTAATTTTCTCAAGATTAGAATTTTCCATAGAGCAAAAAGTCAATTTTTTTATCTTCCCAGATTTTTGAGAAGTCCCTTGAAATCTAAAAAACTGTTTGAAAACGGATAAAAAGATGCTGGTCATAATATCGAGAACATTCCACTAATTCCAAATAACCTAGGTGACAGGGCAGTACAGTGTACTTCTTCCTGATGGTAGAATTCAGACTGTAACATACAGTGTGGCACCCAATACAGGATTTGTGGTAAGTGTTCTTATACTGTGTACTGTGTACTGCGTACTTTGTTCAGTGTACTGGTCACAGTGTACTGTGTACTCTGTAATGTGTTCTGTGTTCTGTACTGTGTACTGTGTACTGTGTACTGTGTACTGCGTTCTAAACTGCGTACTATGTACTGTGAGCTTTGTACAGTGTACTGTGTACTGTATACTTTACACTGTGTACTGTGTACTGTGAACTGTATACTGTGTACTATGTACTGTTTACTTTATACTGTGTACTGTTTACTCTGTACTTTGTACATTGAACGCTTACTTGTCCTGTATACTTGTGCTTTGCAGTGTGTACTGTGTACTGTAAACAAGTACTGTGTTTTTGTATTGTGCTCTGTACTTTTCCTTTGTATTTGTCCTGTGTTCTTGTTCCGTGTACTGTAAACAAGTACTGTGTTTTTGTATTGTGCTCTGTACTTTTCCTTTATATTTGTCCTGTGTACCGTGTACCGTGTACTGTGTACGTTTCCTGCATACTTGTGATGTGTACTATTTTTGTGAATAAAAGTGCAATTTTAATGAAACATCACGTGGTTCAGAAAATATAAAATATAAAGATAAGAATATTCCAATGATTGTTGAAAATTACAATCTGAGTTAAAGAATATAGAATGTGTTTATACTTCTATTAAATTAAACTGACAGAAATGAACTTGAGTTCAATGTGGTAAAAATGAATTTGAACATCAAAAAAAATAAAAAGAAGAATTGATAATATTATTAATAATCGATCTAAAGGCCCACAAGTTGTCCAGCTATTTCGAAACACTCCTGAATGGACTGTAAGTGTAATTTCAGATGACTCTCCCTGCAACGAGGAAATTATGCCGATTCATAACCTTTGTCTTATCAAGTATGAATTGGATATCAATGTTTTTAATTTTGAAAACTGATTATTTTCAATTGCGGTTTCTCTACAAAAGTGACTTGCAAATTTCTACTACTGTAAAATATTAATGATCAGATAAGGTTTTAAGTGTATCGTTGTGAATCAGGTATTGCCATCTTTGCATAGAGTTTTACTAGAATTTACGCTGATAGGGCCTTTTTTGAAGAAGGGACCCAACTCTTAGTTTATTTTACCGCTTTAAAGTGTTCCCAAGGCTTAGACTGATCAAAATACTTTGCTGTTAGACAATAATTTTAGTTCCGACATCTTGAAAATAGAGAGAGAGATGTCGTTTTTGGTTTGTTTTCAACGTAAAACTTTATTTTCATTTTTAGAGGAAATTCTGAATCTGAGATTTTGTGTTTCGAATTTTTTTATTAGAAATTGTGCATAATCTTTTCTTATGACAAAACATGTCGTCAAAAAACGATTGATTAAATCGTTAAAGCATTTCCGCAAACCAAAGCTTGAATATTTGAAAACCAAACCTAATTAAAATTAACCCCATGTATAGTTGCTAAGTATATATGTGTTGCCGACTGATGCACAATGCATGTTAATGCATGATGTATTTAAACTAATAATTCAATCAATCAAAAAGTGTATCTAGAGCACCGTGAAAACCGACTGGTATATATGTTCCGCATTATCAGAATTAATTGCTTTAAAAATCCGTTGCTCTTCTCTTGGCAGACAAATATATATGATCCAGTTAGCTTTGCAACTTATTATTAATTTTTGGCTACAAACTCAATCATTTATCATTTCGATTTTGTTTTCTGTTTAAAAATGACATTTGCTACAGAAACAACAAAGGAAATTATAAGACTAGTACACAGTACTGTACACACTGTACACTAAGGGTTAGAGCGTACCGGAAATGCCACTTTTAAAGAGACTGTAAGTATAATTTCAATTAATCCTTTATTCAAAGATGGCAATTCTCGTTTTACAACGGTACCCTTAAAACTTTTGTGTGTTAGTCGAGTACAGAGATATGTGTGTTTAAACTTATCGAAACCCGCTTGTATTTAACTGAAAATTCAAGTGTGCGCTGCGTTGAGTTACTTACACTTTACAGTCTGAACTCAACACAGCGCACACTTGAATTTAAAACACAGAGGTTTTAAGGGTAGCGTTGAAAATTCGGTGTTGCCCTCTTTGCAAGGAGGGTCATTAAAAATGACGCTGACAGTCCCTTTAAAATAGCGGTACACTTAGAAATACGTCTACAGTTTCTTTACGCAAAAAAGTGCATTCCAAGCTGAATATATCATTTTGTTTCAGGCGGAGGTTACCTATACTGCAGCTCCCGGAGGTGCATTTGGGGGCGGAGCCGGGGGCGGCGGAGGAGCAGGAGGATTTGGTTCAGGAGGCGGTGGAGCTGGGGGCGGAGTACGTGGCGGTGGAGTGCGTGGCGGATCTCAATCTGTACAAGCCGGATATGGCGCACCTGGCAGAAGATAATTATTGAGAGAAAAAAAGTATTGTCTTCATATTTTTTGTTATTTTTTGTTATTTTTGTTATCTATCTCTTATTCTAATTTATATATATTTCTGTTTTGTTTGATATTTTGTGCAAGCAATATATGTATATTATAACCCTCGTAATTGTGCATACAAGTATAAATATGTACACATAAATATGTACAAGTATACAAGTATAATTTATACAATATATACAAGTATAAATATGTACACATAACATGATGATTAATGACAGTTGATAGAAGACATGTTGACTTCTTGATATATATTGCAGTATTTATTTTTTTGAATCTTTGAACAAAATTTCATAAAATATCACAGAGCGTTTTCAAAAGTTCTCTATTGTTCTCTAAAATATTCAAATAATTAAATAAATGTTGAAAATTCGGAGACTTACGTGCTAATTTTCGAAAAGCTCACCATGGATACTGCATACTGTTAGTTAACACATTCGTTCTCATTAGTTACCAAAACCACTATCATTGAACTAAACACATTTCTTTTTTGTTCTTTATTTTGCATATATTTTCTCTCTGGGCTTGGTAAAGAAGAGAAATTTTTTACTAATGTATAGACCAGAGCCCAAAACTTAAGTCAGAAATAAAACCAGGTATTGGAAACCTGTCAGGGTCAGGCAGTTTTGTAGATACCAATATCTAAGACATTACTTGATGTGGTTACTTTATATCCGCTTCATATCTCTTTTTGTTTTCTGTTTTCTAAAATCAAAATTTACGCAAATGTTTAGAGAAAAGGATACTCGGGACACAGGAGTTATACGTTTAACTAACGTTACTCTCTTATAGTTTCAACACAGAGCTCAATATAAAAACTTTTTTATAAATATTGCCTAAAGGAACTGAGTTTTTGTCACAAACTCAAATTGTCTAATCCCTAGATCTTTACAATCTGATGATGTAAACCTTTAATATTTCGAACTTAGATTATTTGGTCTAACAGAATTCATAGTTTAAAATATCAAGGTCTACGACATTGGGTAGCAAAGATATAGAGATTAGAAAAGTAGAATTTGTGACCAAAGCTCAATTATTTTTTTGCCAACAATATGATGAAATAAGATATGCCATTTCTACGTTATACTATGTGCTAACTAAACATATAACCACAATAAAGTACCGAGTTTTTTAGCTTAGATATAATGATTATTTTTGTTCAAAATTATAAACATTTGCTTTGAAAAATGCTCCCATTCTTTTACGATGATTTGTTTAAGAATACAAAAAGGCCTGTACAGGATTCTTCGGGAGAAGAAAGCACTGATGATGAAGATTAAACTAGATTAAACTAGATTAAACTAGATTAAACTAGATTAAATATTAAGTTTAAAGAAGAAAGCTCATCAGAACGGCTCTGTCCCAGGGCTATAAAAACTGACTAAAAGGAGAAGGATTCTTTAATTGATAAATGGCTGAAATTCAGAGAGTAAAAGATTAATTTTGTAGAATAAAAAGTATAATAATTAAGGGGTCATTGACTTTTATACTTTATTTATTAATTGCAAAATCTATTATTTTTCCATATTTAAGAAAATAAATATTATTTCATTATGAACCTAAAAAAAAAAATTCTTTTACGAAAAATCAAACAATTTTTAAAGGAAAATTTAACCGATTGTAATTCTTGATTAAAGTATTTTTACAAAAATATTAACCAATATATTTTCAACATATTTTACATTTTTGTCAAAAAATACTTATTTAAAAATCTTTAACTGGAGTCGTTTAAAATTCCGTTTATTGATAATGAGATATATCAAGATTTGTCCAGATTCTGATCAACAAAAAAATAAACAAAATTGCTTAAATGTTTAATATATCCGTTAATTTTAAAAATAAAACGTAGTCAGACCACATTTATGAAAGCCCTTAGGATATTTAATCTGTTTTTGAGGTGTTTTTTTAAACACTCTTTTTTATACACCCTACAACGGTAGAATTTATTCCGAACCGGAGTTAAAAGGAATTAGAAAGCGATGAAAGTATTTTTTTAACAATTAAACACCTACCTAAACTAAAAGGTAAACTCCAGATTGAGAAATTTTAAAAAATGTTTTTGTGTTTCATTAATTTACCTTAGATATATATTAATTATTATATTACTACCATGAAAACAATATACAATATTCTATTCTCAGTATATAGTATTCTAATTCTTAAATGAACTGTAAAGGAAAAATGAAAGGGGGTATAGGATGAAACCTTGAGAATCTCAGGCGTTGAACGATACATATAAAACATCTGTATGATGTTCCTGTCTCGAGAAGTTGATATAAAAAATGTGTCAAAATTATACGAAAATTTTTATATATACAATTTTGTATAAAAGTAGTAGGTTTAAACAGATCATATTCAGCAAATATGCAACCAATCTAAAAACGATTATATCCCACAGGAGCCTGAGAATCTCAGTTTTGCTCCTATTATAATTTTTTATTTTTTATTTTGCATTTTTAATAGGTATAATTAATAACATTATTACATATAGTCCGTGTAGTTCGTATTACGTCACCAGAACTTCAGCCAATGGCAGTGCATGCAGTATACAGGTCACGTGATTTCGGTCTGTATCACGTGACAACTTGTACATTCGCATAATTTTGACACAGTTTTATATCAATTTCTCGAGACAGGAACATCAGATATATATGTATCGTTCAATGGCTGAGATTCTCAGGTTTCATCCTATACAACCTTTCATTTTTCCATTACAGTCCCTTTAATATACAATATTTTTTTCTACTTTTAAAGTCAGCTCAGGAAAGTTTCAGGACTGAACCCACTAATGTGAATTTGTTCTGATATTTAGTTAGCTGAAAATTTTAAACTTTTTATATTTTCATTCGTGAAATTAAGATTTTCCCTATTTGCTATTTTATACTTCTTTTATACTAAAACTATATTATATACAACATATGTTTTGAAGTAAGAAGTAAATAAAGTCTTTTTAAGCTGATTTGGACAGATTGTGATTTAGAGATAAAAATGTGGCTTTAAATATGTCTTCACACTACACAGATATATTAAATATGTCTACACAGACAGGATGAATAACTAGTATTAGTAATTAGTTTTACGCATAATATACGCATAATACGCATAGCCAGTCTCTTCATGATAATAAAACATCTACATTTTGTTAATAAAAATTTATGGTAATCATAATATTGAAACTTTATGTAAAGGAATTGAGTTTTTGCCACAAATAGAAATGTTTTAATCCCTAAATCTTTACAACCTGATTATGTAACCTTTGATATTTCAAACATACATTACTTAGTCTACGAGAATTTATAATTTGAAATATCAAAGGTCTGCGAAATCAGGTTGTAAAGATATTTAGGCCGGTTAGAAAATCATAGCTTGTGGCATAAAATCACTTCTTTCACGTGCATTTAACTTTTAAAAAATGTAAGAGTTAAATATGTTATTAAGTTTCTAAGTTTTAACGACTTACACAAATAAATTGTAATGAAAAAAATGTTCATTGTGTTTATGGACATGTTGTACAAAATAGTGATTATTTATTGTTCACTATATAGGCTTTTAGGGCGCTTCGCATCCATTTTCTTTTTCACCTTTAGTGACCATATTCTCTTTGTACAATATAAAACAACAACTAATATACTAGTACACTATGAAGTTTTGATTTCACTGGCTATGCTTAAGTTGCTCAAGACAAGTACAAACGTACAAACGTCTCTGAACTTATTTTCATTGTACAATTTAGTTCAGTGCAAGGGCGTATACAGAAATAAATCTAGGGGGGGGGGGTAAAATTTTAACTGTAAACTCAAAACATTTGCCTTATTGGATACTTTAAAGGTACATATACAGTCCAATTACCTTACAAGTACTAATTTATCTCTCCTTCAAACAAAACAAGCAGAAAGAAACAGTAAATAAATTGTTTTATGTTATTCACTCTTCAGTTTCAGATTTGATAAGTGTTATAGATCTGAGTGCCTCCCCCCCTGTGTACGCCCTTGGTACAGTTTACTTTTAGCTCTTTTTTACAAAAAGCTTCTGCCTTTCCAAGTCATGTTACACTTCTAGTTCTTTGTGCATGTACATGAAACTTGTAGCTTCCTACTTCATGTACATGGTTTGGTTTGGTTTGGGAAAGCAGTACTGTACAAGGGTGAGAATGTCTAGGATTCCACTGTCTTGGTCAACGTTTCTCTGTTAATTGAGAAGCAATTAAGATTTGTTAAGGTTGAGATATATAAATATATATGTGCATAGGAGTTTTTATAGTTTGGGTTGAGTGCTTGGTCCATTTTGGTAGGAATAAACTATACAGTGAGAACCAGAAAACGACTTAAAGATTCAAGATATGATTTCAAATGGTCTAATGAACATGTGACACAGCAATTGTTCAATATGCGCAGTGCGCACAGCTGCCACTTCACTTCATAAGAAATGGTGTTACTAGTAAAACTATTTGCTTTGTAACAATATCAACTATCCTGAGATGCTGTTTTCCTATTTCACAGTTTTCTGGTTCTAACTGTAGCTAAACAGAAGGGTAGTAAGGAATAAAGAATAAATTATGATACCATCAACTCCAAAAATGCGCTAAAATTAAAACCGGTTTTTCAAAAGTTAATGAGCGATAAACATGACACGCTGATTGGTTGAATTCTAAACTTCTTTCTGGGATATCGAATATGTATTCACCTAATCTCGGTTATAGTAAAACCAGGAGATCAAGCATTGATCTTGATATCCAACATTCTAAAGTTTTCAGCTCAGGGCGCTTATCGCCTGTCTTCTTTATTTCAAATTTAAATTGTAGCTCTATCTGTTAGCATTGTCTCTTCATTTTCAAAATTTTACAAGCTTCCACAAACCTTCCCTGGGGTCACGTGAGTTGCTACAAATTTTGTATTCTTATCCTCACTATTATTATTATTATTATCATTTTTGAAGGACAGGCCCTCGGTTTTTGTTCGTTCAGGACAGTACATTATATATCTTCTTTCTGAGTTGGTAAAGATTTTAGCATATTCTATTATAAGCAAAAGGAACTGAGTCTCTCTGGCACAAACTCTGATTTTAAAATCCATATATCTTTGTGCAAACCTTAGATATTTCAAACTATCATGGAGTATGTTAGATAAAATAAGATTTAGACATTTATTTCGAAATAGCAAGTTATGTTGGCATACACGTAATAACATACAGTTTGAACATACCTATATAAACTGCATTGTACATTGTCTGAGGATCTAATTGCGTTAATCCTTAATGCAACTAGACTAGCAACTTAACATGTAATAGATATTTGTGAATAAGATCATTCAGAATCAGAACTCCGCTTTGATTACAGTGTATAATTGTACCCCCGTTGAAATATTCAGGTTGAGATCA